GATGATGACAAGAAAAACTTTAATATAAGCTTAACATGACAGCAAATGTACAACGTTTCGACAAGGTTTGGAGACGGCTTAAATGGGTAATGAGCCATTATTAATACCCATATCAGCTGTCTATGCTATACATAGTACACGAATTACATCTAACATCCCAACAGGAATCAAAAGCACCCAACTGTGTCATTTTGTCACAAGAACTTATAGTATGCGAATAAAAAATTACTTTTCTTTAACTTCTTTCTATCAAAATATTTATATAACCCTGTAAGTTGTGAGCTGGCAATATTCATATATATATAGCATTTATACAGTAAAAAAAAGTAAATATTTGTATATATTTCGTGCAAACTAAATAAACAGAAGGAACCTTGCTTTAACATTTAAGAGGGCGGTGTGAAAAATAGATTTAGGAAGGGCGGTGTTATGTTTTAGGTAGTGTAACACTGACTAGTTGGAGTTGAAAATGATATTATTAGAGATAAACAATAGGATTGTCGAAGATATACTACGACTTAAATTCAAAAATGCATTAGCTGGGTAAGTTTAATGTATGAATTCAACCACCACATAGTAGCAGCAATGAATTATAACATGGTAATGCAGTGCTAGTCCTGCTACTTTAACCTTAAAGTTTAGATTTTAGTATTACTACTACTACTACTAATAGTAGTAGTCCTAGTGTTATTAACATAAGACTAAGTACTACTACTAAGTCAATAATCGAGTATTGTTCATTAACACTACTAATGCCAGTAATGGTACTATTCGTAGCACTGTAGTTTAGGTTGCAGCAGTAATATTACTTTAAAGTTTAGTATACTAAAAGTAAGAGCATATATTTTAGTATTACTAGTAGTACTACTGCTAGTAGGTGATTATGAGTAGAATACTGTCATTGTGGCATGAAGCTAAGAAACAAAATTTCAAAATTAATGTATAATTAACTATTAAGAGTTTATTGTTGTTAAAATGGCAAAACTACAGACAAACAGATTTTTTTATAGCTTTGAAAACATAATTTAGTGTGATTGAATTATACTTTAATGTAATTGCAATTATAAAAAAAGCAACCATCTACTCGTTTAAAGTCTTTATAGATTTAACCCTTTCGAGATGGGTCACAGGTGAAAAGCCATGTCATCGCGTTTGTTGACTTGCATTCAAAATTTTATTGAACTACTATTTTATGAATTTATGTCAGTAAATTTGGTATCAAACTAGATTATAAATCGAATTTTAATATTTTACCATACTCAATTTCTTAATTTAAAAGTACATATAAAAAAACTGTTAACTGAAAGACTGCCAAATTTCGTGAAGCTATACACACTATATTGAGAGTTATAACTATTAACTCTTTCAACCCGGGCTCGGTCCCTGGGGACTGACCTCATAACCATTTTGTGCTTGTTATAGGTTTCATACTATAACTTTTAAATTAGTAAGCAAATGTTAACAAAATTTGGCTGTTTATCAGTAAACATTACAATGCTTTCATATGCAAAATATCTAATTTTTTTATTAAGTTTTAAGGTTTGTAAAGCAATGTTTTTCTCATGTGTATTTTTTCTTTTCACATGTTGCCTATCTATCGTGCAAAGTAATTTTCATTTTAAGATTAAAAATACTCTTATGCATCAGAAAATTCTGAAATTTCACATGTGAAATCTTTTTAATGTCCAAATAGTTATCAAACATTTCTTAAGAAAAAACTTTATATTTTATCTGTTATTTTCAGTAATTAATCTTTGTACGGGTTCAGTAAATTTGACCAATCTTGCAACCACCATAAAAAATTGGGAAATAAATGTAAATTATGCCTCTTTCATTCTAGAATGAACACAAATTATAACATGAAAACATAATTGTTTAGACGAAATAGCTTAAACCTCATAACAATACAGAAGTTACAATTACGCAACTATCATGCACTCATGTTACTGTGTCAAATAACATAAAGGTGACCTTTGGTCTGTACAAAGTGATTTGTCTTGGCTGTGTTTTAGTTGACTAGTATTTTGTAAAGTACAGTCACGTTTCAATTATACATTATACATGTATATAGATTATTGCTATTTTGAAATAAGTTCTTAAAGTTCTTTTTCCTAAAACACAGAATAGTAAATAAAGAAGTAAAGCAAGCAATTATCTCTTCTAGTTACAACCTTTGTACTCGATTGCTACTTGATGTAGCTTGCTAAGCATTTAAAAATTTTGCACGTGGAGGATATGAAACAAAATTTTTTCTAGGTGTTATATACTTTTGAATTACTAAAAAATCATAAATTACTACATCAATACCATAGAATTTTACTATAATTTATCAAGCTTAGTAACTAAGCTGTATTTGGGTTTAAAAAAATATGAAATTTCGAGCAGACTAAAGACACAAGTAACCTCATTGAAATCTTGATTTAAAAGAAAGAAATGGTGGAAGGAATGTTAGAAAGACTGAGAAAACCACTAGGGGAC